TTGGAACCTTCTGTGATTTTAGAATCAGAAGAATGCTAGCTTCCAGGAATGACTTGTGGAGTATTCTTTCCCTTTCAATATCATTAAAGCATTTGAGGAGTATTGGCATTAGATCTGCCATGAAGTCCCTGAATTCAGCAGTGAATCAATTGGGACCTGGGCTCTTCTTAGTTATAGATTGTTCATCACTGTTTCAATTTCATTGCCTGTTACTGAATTATTCAGGATTTTGAAATCTTCTTGGTTCAATTTCAATAATTCATGTGCATCTAGAAATCTGTCCATTTCTTTTTTTTTTTTTAATCTGTCCATTTCTTCTGAGTTCTCCAACTTATTAGAGTGCAGGTTTTCAAAGTAGTTGCTAGTAATTGATAGATTTCCCTCCGATTTAGGGTGGCTGATGTATATAATAGCTACCTTCTTCCCAAATGCCCCTATTCCCCCCAAAAGAGTAACCTAATACTTGCTCTCCTCTTAGCAACTAGTGATGTCACAGGCTCCTCCAGTCCCTAGCCACTAGCTCACTTAACCCCACCCCAGCTCCTATAAGAACTGCTCCTTGCCCCTGCCATATTGCTTTTGTCTCTCCTTTGTTCAGAGACAGCCCGAGAGATCGTGCCTGCAATAAAGGCTTGTTGTGATCCGGTCTGGTCTTGGTTTTCAGATTTTAACCTGACAATAATCTTCTAGATTTCAGTGGTGTTCACTTTTTTCATTATTAATTGCACTGATTTGCATCTTTTTCTTTTTGGTAAGACTGATTAAGGGTTTATTGGTTTTTAAAACCAATAAACCACCTCTTTTTTCTGTGACCCATTGAGTATTCAGGAGTATGTATATTAAGTCTTCAGGTGTTTATACATTTTTTATGTTTTCTTTTGAGATAGTTTCAGTGTACAATAATATGCTAGCATACAAGGGGTGATTTTAATTCTTTTGTATTTACTTATTGAAGCAGGCTTTGTGAAGTATTATGTAGTCTACTTTAGAGAAACTTCCACATACTGCTGAGAAGAATGTGTATTCTGTTGTAGTAGTATAGAACACTCTGTAGATGTCTACTAAGCCCATTTGTTCGAAGGTGTGATTCAGCTCTGACATTTGCTTATCTTCTGTGTAGTTGATCTATATGTGAAATTGGAGTACTGACATCATCCACTATGACTGTGTTGGTATTTCTTTGATCTTTTATGTCTATTAGTCTTTTATGAAGTCTGCTATGATTTGTGAAAATAATTTTTTATTCTGTATGTCCTAATTTTTCTCTTGATCCAATTAGCCTTGAGTTAACCTTCTTAATGTCATCTAGTTGTTTCTAAATAAATTTTCTTTGGTCTTTTATTGTTTTTAAGATTTCTCTGTATATATCATGATGTGATTCCATTTGCCCTTGATTTCTGAAACCCTTTAATCACACTGGTTATTCCTGCTGTTAATATATTCAATATAATTCTTTATCTCCAAGATTTCTGTTTGGGCCCCTTTCATGAAGTCTATTCCTTTGGGAAATTTGTTATTCACATTTCGAACAGTTTTGGTCAGCTCCTCAATTTTTGTTGATTTCATAACTACATTGGTCAGTTTGTTGTACAGTTCCACTATCTTTTGGGTTATGTCAACTTTGCACTTGCCAAGTTTTTTGCTTCCTCTTTAATCATGGTGTGCAGCTAAGCTACCCGTTTTATTTCCTCTCCATTGGTGCCCTTTCGATCTGCTTTGGGAGAGTTGAGAATCTTCAGAGGCATTTTGTTGTTTTGTTTTTTCATATTCCTTTTTTTTTCTTTTTTGTGCTAAAGAGGTCAAATAGAATGAAGATAATTTGTTGGTATGAAGGTCTTTAATTAGGTTATGTTTACCACTGATGTGTTCTTGGCTTTATTTGTCCAGAGGCATTGTTTACCATTTCAAACCATTCAGTGTAATTGCTTGTACTCTTTCACTTGACACAGTTGTTACAAAATTAACCCAAAACATCCACAGAGCTCTCTCTATACTGGACTCACATTGTGATTACAAGCAGCCAAGCAATTTCCCCCTGTAGACTAGTCAATTTCCAGCTTGAAACAGTGAGAGCTGTCATTCCCTCTGAACCCATGTCCTGGTTGCAACCTGTGTCCCAACCATGAAACTGCAGGTCTCCATTGACCTAACTGTATAATCAATTTGGGGTGAAGGAAATGTGTAGTTTGCCCAACTCCCAGTTCTCCGTCAGCTTCCATCAGGGACCTCCCACCCTCTTGATTCCTTCACTCCCTGACAGATATCATAGTCATCTCCGTCTTCCCTCCCTAGACTTTCCTTACCTGGTATATGGCTAGATGATCTTTGGCTCAGGTGCCATTCACCATCTCTGCCTGCACATGACTATATCTCAGTTCTACCTCACAGATCTCCCCTGTTCCACTCTTTTTTTTGGCACCGATAGAACTCGGGTCCTTGCGCTTGTGCAGCAGGTGGCGAAACCACTGAGCTAAATCTGCCCCCCCCCTTTACTCTGCATATTTGTTTGTTACACTCTCAGGTCTCCCTGTCCTCTATAGTCTCCAGCTAGGAGATGCTGGAGGCCCCCAGTGGGAGCACATTACCCGACTGTAGGTAGCAAACTGAATGTCCCATAAGCACAGCACTCCCGTTTTACATAAGGGGAATGGGTGACTTACTTTTCCTGTGTTGGGCAAGCCTGGTCTCTCCCCATACTCTTGCTACTTGCAGGCACTGTATTGCTATTGTTTTCAGGACACAGATATGTGGCATTTTGTCTTGCCCTATTCTTCTGTTTTTGGCTTCTCTGAATCCCCAACTAGCATGTGTCTCACTTGCTATGCCAAGTAATGAGATTAGGGTGAGTGTGAGTCCATTCCATCATCTATGTCATCACTGAAGAGTGGCTCCCTCCCTCAGTATGATCTTCTCCCAGTATAGTCTGTACACTAGGTCTGCAGTGGGGGATATGGTGTTATCACCCTAGAATAATTCCTCATAATTCTCCCCACCCCAAGGCACTGGATTTTAGTCCATCCAGATTCTCTTTTCATTATTCTACTATATCAGACTGACTTTATCTTTAGTTTCCATCTCAGGGTACCTGCTTTTCCCCAGTACCAATTCAAAAACACTCACTCTTGCCGTTGCCCCTGGCAGACATATGCTCTTCCCCCAAATTCCCCTTTTGACTATTTCTGCTACTAATGTCCACTGTACACACTAAGATCTGAATACTGTGGGCTATTCATGGTTCTTTAAATAAGTGCTGCTTTTCCCCCCAATTTTACATAATATGATATACTTAGAATGCATTCCCCAAATTCCTGTCAGTTAAAAGGCCCAGAAGAAATATCACCAACTCTGAGGTTTTCCCTGATTTTACTGGGTGCAATAAATTAGTTTTTCATTACACTGCAACCAGATACATTCTCTATATTAAAAATGGAGTGATTTTGCTTCCTGGGGATATCTGGCATTATTTAGAGATTTTTTGGTTGTCGTAACTTAAGAGGGATGGGTGTTACCAAATTTAACGGGTAGTGGAAGAGATGTTGCTAAACAATGTACAATAGGTTTGCTTCCCACAACAAAGCATTATCTGGCCTAAAACAACATAGTGCCAAGGTTGAGAAGCTCTAATCAGTACTTATGGTATTGTATCACAATTTTTTTTGCATGTATGTTTTCTCCCTTATAAATTTTTATCATGTGAAGATGTCTTGTTTATCTTTATATTCCCAGCATATTTCCTGGTACACAGAATATATTTGCAAAATGAAGGGAAGGAGAAAAAGAAGAAGAGGTAGAGAGGGAAGGAGAGGGAGAAAGAGCAACAAAAGGCACCAGGGGAGGGAAGGAGGAAGAAGAGGAAAAATGGAGAATTTCTTTTGTTCAGCGAGGCTATATGGGATGAGGCATGTTGCTTCCTGCAACCCTCTGTAAAACAGAAAGCATATGGCATATTTACAGTGTTTAAAGCCAAAATGACTAAGGGATTTTGGCTTTATTACTAATTAGTTGTGATCCTGAACAAATTATTGAATTTCTCTAAATCTATACGTCCTCATTTGTAAATGAGAGATTATTTCACTCTCACAGGGTTGAGGTAAGAATAAAATAAATATACATTAAGAAACTAGTAAAGTGTTTACTTGTAGTAAAAGTCTATACATACCACACTGTCCTCCTTTCTATTCTAAGAATTCCCATATAAAGACACACCAGTTAATCCCAGCCCTTCAGGAGGCTGAAACAGAAAGATCATAAATTCTATCCCAGCATGGTCAAATAACTAACACCCTGTCTCAACACTTTAAAAAAGTTTTTTTAAACAGTTGGGGATGCAGTACAAAGGCCCAGTACAGGAGGAGGAGGAGGAGGGTCAATGATGTCTAGTAGAAGGGAGGAGGAGTATGACGGCCAGCAATGTCTGGTACAGGAGGAGGAGGAGGAGGAGGAGGAGGTCGAGGACGACGAGGGGGAGGGGGAGAAATCATCTCCTCAGTGTTTTCTATTTCAGTATGTATGTGCACTCTGAACTAGTTAATACCATGATTGAAAAATATAAAACATAGTTATTCTGTATTGTAATAGAGTATTTGCTAAAAATTTATTCTATTATTTTAGGAAACTCAAGAAAAGATTTCTAGGCTTTAATTTTTCTATGAATTTTACTCACATATATGTTTTTTTGGTACCAGGGATCGAACTCGGGACCTTGCGCCCATGAGGCAGGCACAATGCCACTGAGCTAAATCCCCAGCCCCTACTCACATATTTTAAAAAGTATACATCTTCACAAAAGAAAACAAGCTAAAGCTCTTAGTTTCAAATTAAAATAATAACTAAAGTGATAAAACTGTAAGGAAATCTGTAGGAAACAAAATGGGGTCAATTTTATTTATAATATGAAAGTAAAATAGCATTCAAGACAATTCTTTATACTGTTCATTTCCTAGAGCTATGTGACATTCAAAGGGTACCTAACAGCCTTACTCTCAGGTAAAGGAACTTACCTGGCCCGTTGCCACGTAGTCTTTCAAAGGATGAATAGCCAGACAGAGAATATCATCATCATGACCCAAGTAAAAACGTTGTGTGTTCTGTTGCCGATTATAAATGACACCCACTGCTGCCACATGGTATACAATTTCACCAATTTGAGTATAAAATAGATTACTTCGACAGTCATAACCTCTGTAACTAATATAGAAAACAAATCATGTACAATTAATTTTGGTCTTTTCTGACCAATACAGAATATACAGAGAAGCATGTACATTTTGAGTCAATTTCCAGTTTTAGGAGATACCAAGGCAAAAGAAAATACTACTTTGCAGATCCTATAAATTTTTATGAACTGTGTTTGATTACCAATAGCTAAATTCAAGTCATAATGCTGAGTGAAAAAAATTAAGGTACAGTGGTACCTCGGTTCACGAACTTGATTCTTTCCATGATTCTGGCTGCTAATCGAGTTAGATAAGAACCAAATCAAATTTCCCCATAAGGTCAACATTGAACCTAACCATTATAGTATATATCCAGTGTACTATTACTTGCATAAGTAATAATATTAAATCTATATACTGTAAAAAGAAAAATAGTTGCCTTAAATACAACTAAATAGACATGCTGTCTGTTTCAACACTGGAGGGAAAATATTCTCAATAAATAAATCTTTTTTTCAAATTCTTGGAAAGTATTATCAATCTGGTAATAAAGTGAGTGCTGACTGAGAGACAGAAGGAGTCCAAATGGAAAGCCTGTGGCTGCCAAGCTGAAGTATGAAACTTGTATTGCCAGATGTTCTACAGTAATCCAGAAAATGTATTTTCCTGAATTTAGAAATCCAAAATGTCCAGGCAAAAATAATTCATATCATTTCAAATTAGACACATTAGGGGGAGATGATAACTTTTCACATTTTTAAAAAGATAAAATGTCCATTTCCATAAATAGCAAATTTTCATAAGACAAATTTATATTTATCAATAAATATCTATATACTGCTTACTTGTGTGGCAGACAATGTTGTAAGTTACCACTCGCACTGCCTTACTTACTCCCAATTAGAACTTTATGAGGTAGGTACTGTTATCTCCATTTTACAGATGGGGAAACAGAGGCAAAGTGACTTGCTCCATGTCACACAGCTAGTAAATATAAACCAAAATTCAAGCACATAAATGAAAAATAGTTGTCTTATACCCATGAACAAAGTGTAATCGAATACTATTTCCTGGAGCCCGTTCTCTTCTTTTAGAAGTAGCACTTTTTTGTTTCTCTTTGCATTGTTCTTTAAGCTGAGGTAGATCTTCTTTGTAAATCTTTAAAAAATGTAAGTAGGAATATTGTTAGTATATTAGCAAAGGTGGTCTGTCAATCAGCTTTAGCAAATATTTTCAGTAACAAGGTACATTTCCAAAACTTCCTTGAAAAAACAAACTCAATTTTTCTATGTATTACACTGATAAATGCACTTAGTGTTCTCAGAAATCCTAATACTTTATGAGAATCTTTCACAGAAAATAAATGGGTGTATACTGTGACAAAAATCTACAGACAAAGAAATACAGATATATGAAGCATTTAACATAAAGGAACATTTTATGCAGGTGTGCTTTAATGCTTAAAGGATTAGACTAAAAGAGACACACTGTTTGGGAATAAAGCCACAAAAGATACAATAGGTAAGAGCAGGGAGCAAGATGAAGAAACTGGGGGAAAAGTGTGTGATAACAGAAATTACCTGCCGACGGTAGGTGAGCTGTGTCTCTTGTTCAATTTCAGAATCCAGTTCTGGAACATCAGACATATCTGAATCTGATTCATCACTGTTAGAGTCAGCCAGACTTTCTGTAATTTAAAAAAATGAAATATCATTTGTTTAAAGAAGATTAAATTTTCAAATCACACTGTGAAATTAATGATTGAGAGCTGAATATGACAGCTGACATGGAGACAAGCCATAAAACAATCAAATGAAATTACCTATTCAAGTGACACAGATGTCAGAAAACTGTACTACAGATAATCTTCCTTTCCACTCACTGAAAACTCAATAGCTCCTTTAAATCCCTTCACTGGCTCCCCAATGACTGCTACATCAAATTTAAAAGTCTGTGCAAATATAAGTGAATATAATCTACAATTAACATGAAAATAGCTAGAAAGTACTACACACAACAAATGACTTGACATTAGATAATTTTTCTTTGTTAAAATACATATATGAAACCTAGGTACCCATCTCTCAGAAGATACATTAAATGTTTATTTTGCTAATATAACTCTTTCTTCAATTTCCATTTGATAGACTAAACTGCAACCAAAAGTACTTTGTATTCCAAACTCTATAACATCTAACTTTAAACACAGAGACAAAATTCAATTAGACATTTCTGCTAATAAAAAATTACACAATTTATGAAGTTATACTTCAATTATAAAATTGTTATTTTGGTGCTACTGAAGAATTATTTGATGGGGAAAGTGTTTATGTGGTGTGTACTACTCACCTTGGGGAGCTATGTGAAGAGCATCTTTTAGTTTTCTTTCAGGAATAAATTTCCACTGAAAGACAGAGTGATCTGCTCCACCAATAGAAATAACCCACTGAAAATCATGTGACCATCTGACATTAGTTACATGAGCTGAGTGGCCAAAATATTTTTTGAACTTGGCCCCTATAACAAAAATATATCTTTAAACTGATAAACAAATGCCAACACACAAAAATACTACTTCAAACAGCAATCTCTATACATGGAGCACTGTATTGTCCTTCTATTACCTTAATTATGAACAAACGGAAAAATACTGATTCAAAAATTGGTTGAATGACAAACAGATACCAAGGAATGCAAACATTTCCTCTGTTGATTTAAAATTTGGTACAAACCACAAAAGGCAGTATCTTACCGCTTTGAGAAAAGCCCAGGGATCAAACACTTTAGTATTAATATAATTGAAAATTTGACAAAAGCAAAATGTAGCTTAAAGCCTATCAGAATTAAAATCAAAAGACTAACGCTTGAGCATTAGTGCTACCTAATAGCACATGAGTTTTATCATGCCACTTAACCTCTTTCGGACTTCATTTACTCTTATTTTAATATAAATTAGATTATATACTCTGAAAGTCTCTTCTGATAATGAAAATTATGAGTTTATAATAGCAAATGATAAAAGAATAATTATGGCCTGGAGAGTACGTGGTCAATTAGGACCAGGATTTCAGAGAAAAGATTTATCAAGGCAAGGTAGAATGGTCATAGAAGCTTTCCTAATTTAAGAGAATAATTCTTGGTGAAGATTAATAAATGAAAATGTTTGTGTTTCAATGACTCCTTTACATTATTTTTTTGCTGGTATTGGGGACTGAATTAAGGTCTTTCACAATGAGGTACATTCCCAGACTTTTCATTTATTTTTATTATATGTCTGCAATGAATAATAATAATTTGCCTTGTGGAAGTGGTAGATATAAATACAACACCTTGATCATTTTACTTCCCTTTACATCCTCACTCTCCCCTCTCCCATCTTGCCTAGAAGATTTCAGTGTTGCTTTGATTTGCAATTCTCTAATTGCCAAAGATGGTGAACTTTTTTTCATATATTTATTGGTCATTTGTATTTCAAAGAAATACCTATTCATTTCAACTGCCATTTTTGACTGGCTATTTTACTTTGGAAGGGCTAAATTTTTTTTGAGTTCTTTATACATTTTTGATATTAGCCCTCTGTCCAAAGAGTAGTAGGCAAAATATTTTCCCATTCTGTAGGTTGTCTCTTCACTCTGTTATTACCTTTGCTATGCAGAAAGCTTTCAAATTTGATATAACTACATTTGTTGATTCTTGGTATTATTATGTAATTGGGGTTCTGTTCTATATCCTTGCATATGTCTATATGTTCAAGAATTTTACCAATTTTGTCTTCCAGCAGATTCAGTGTTTCTGTTTTTATATTTAGGCCTTGGTCCATTTGGATTTGATTTTACTATAAGGTGAGATAAAGGGGTCTAGATTCATTCTTCTACACTGATTCATGTGGATAAACATTTTCCTGTTCCACTTGTTAAAAACCACTGCACTTTCTCCAGTGTATATTTTTGGCTCCTTTGTTGGCTGAAGATCATATGAATGCCTACGTTGTTTATGGATCCTCAATTCTATTCCATTGATCCATATGTCATTTGTGTTAGTACCATGCTGCTTTTATCACTGTAGCTTTGTAATGTATCTTAAAATCTGGGATTGTGATGCCTCCTGCTTTGTTCACATTGTTCAGGATTACTTTAGCAATTTTGGAACACTCAGGATTACTTTAGCTATTCTAGGACTCTTATGGTATCATATAAATTTTAGGATTGTTTTGCCTAGTTCTGTGAAGAACGCAGTTTGTATTTTGGTTGGAAATCATTAAATCTCTATATAAATATGCCCACTTTGACAGTACTGGTTCTGCCTATCCAGGAGCAAGGGATGTCTTTTATTTTCTGATGACTTCAATATCCTTTGTTCAGAGTATTACAGTTTTGGTTACAGAGGATAGAAGTCTTTAACTTCCTTGGTTAGGTTAATTCCTAGATATTTCTTCTTTTCCTGATTTCTTTCTTGGTGGGTTCATTGTTGGTATACAAGAACACTATTGATTTTGTATATTTTGTATCCTGCCACTTTGCTGAATCTGTTTACTAGTTCTAAGACTCTTCTGGGTTTGGGGGGGGTCATCTATATAAAGGAACATGTCATCTACAAATAAGTTTGACTTCTTTCTTTCCTATCATCTCTCTCTTTTTTTTTGTCTGATTGGTCTGGCTAGAGCATAAAATACTATATTGAATATGGTTAGAGGAAATACCCATGTTTTGTTCCTGATTTTAGACAGAATGCTTTCAGGTTTTCCCCATTTAGTATGATGTGGACAGTGGATTCATCATATATGGATTTTTATCAGTTGGAGGTAAGGTCTTTCTACACCAATTTCTGTCAGGGATATTATAAATAGATGTTAGATTTTTTCAAAAGCTTTTTCTCCATCTATTGCGATGGTCATGTGATTTCTAGCCTTCTGTTTATGTGGTATACTACATTTATTTATTTACAGATAGTGAACCATACTTGCATACCTGGGATAAAGCTGACTTGGTTGTAATGTATGATCTTTTTAATGATTTCTTGCATTCTTTTTCAAGTATCTTGAGGATGTTTTCATTAAAGAAGTTTGCCTGTAATTCCTTTTTTTGTTGAGTCCTTGTTTGGTTTTGTTATTAGGGTATGACTGGTTTCCAGGAATGAGTTTGGCAATGTTCTTTCCTTTTTGATTCCATGAAGAGTTTGAGGAGTACTGATGTCAGTTATCTAATGTTGTAGTAAAATTCAGTGATAAATCCATCAGGTCCTGGGCAATTCTTACTTAGTAGGTTTTTATTACTGCCTTTAATTCCGTTTTTGATCCTTTAAGGATTTTTATCTCTTCCTGGTTTAATCTTGGTAATTCATATGCACTAGAAATATATCCATTTCTTCCAGGTTCTCCAATTTACTGGAATATAAGTTTTTGAAATAGTTTCAAATAATGTTCTGGAGTTTGGTGATGTCTGTTGTGATTTCCCCTTTCTAACCGCACTGAGCTTTTTTTCTTTTTCCTTCTTTTGGTGTTTGGCTAAGGTTTGATTCACTGATACTTTGTATTGCATTTTAGTTTCAATTTCATTAATTTCCACTCTAATCTTTATTCCTTTCCTTCTATGAGTTTTAGACTTGGGTTGCTCTTATTTTTCTAAGACCTTGAGATGTATTATTAGGCTATTTATTTGGATTGATTCTATTTTTCTAACATAGTTATAAACATATATAAACATCTATTTTCTAACATAGTTCAGTTATAAATTTTCCTTTAGTACTGCTGTGTGTCCCAGTTTTTGATATGTTATGCTGCCAGTGCCATTTGATTCTAGAAAAAATTTTAATTTCTTCTGTGACCCACTGATTATTCACGAGTGTATTATTAATCTCTGTTGGTATAGTTTCTATTGGTGTCAATTTCTACTTTCATTCTGCTGTGATCTGACTGCATTCAAGAGACTATTTCAATTCTTTTGTATTTATTCAAGCAAGCTTCATGGTCTAAAGTCTATTTTGGAGAAAGGTCCATGTCCTGCTGAGAAAAATGCATCTTCTGTTGTTTTTGGATCAAATATCCTATAGTTATTGGTTAAATCCATTTGTTTGAAGTGTGGTTCAACTTTGCTGTTTATTTTTTTGTCTGGTTGACCTACTTGTGAGAGTGGGTACTGAAGTCTCCCATTATGAATTTACTGGTGTCTATCTGTCCTTTTATGTCCAGTAGTTTTTATTTTATGAAACCGGGTACACTGACATTTTGTGCACATATATTTATTATTGTTACCTTTTCTTGTTGAATTGTTCCCTTTACCAATATATAGTGATCTTCTTCATCTTTTCAGATCAGTTTTGGCCTGATGTCCACTTTGAATCAAAAATAGCTACTCCTGCTTGCTTTTCTGCTGTAGCTGCATGGAGTATTATTTTCTATCCTCTCATTTTCGATCTATGTATTTTTTTGTGAATGAGGTATATCTGTTGTAGACAATGTATACTTGAGTTTTGTTTTTTGATCCAATCTATCAGTCTGACTTTTTTATTGGGGAATTAAAAGCATTTACACTGAATGGTATTACTGGGAGGTATTTACTGAATCTGTTATTGTATTATTTTTCTACTACTGATTCCTTTATTTTTTCCATTTTTGCTTAACTACTCTCCCAGTTAGATGTATTCTTTACTTTCGTCTTTTTGGTAATGTTGGCTTCACTCTCTCTGGCTAGGATTCTCTTAAGCACTTTCTGCAATGCTGGATGTGGTCATGGATTTCTGTAGAGTTATATTATACTCTTTAAATTCAATCAACTTTTTGTCTGTCTCTTTAAGCTTGCTAAACATTTTATTATTTAAGACATTTATCTATTTACTTACATCCTCTTTGAGCTCACTGAACATCTTATGCTTTTGGTTGTCTCTTCTTTGATATCTTCAAACAAATTAGCTATTTAGTTTTTTAGTGCTTTGCCTGAAACTTTCCTCATCTCAGTGCCCATGAGATCAGCTTTTGCAGAGTTAAGAGTGTTTGGAGGCAACTTAATTGCATTCTCATGTTTCTACTGTTTTTATGCTGAGGGCCGTAGATTAAATGGAGTAGAAAACTCTGTCCCTACTATGGAGATCCCTTTAGTTACTGTATGTCTCTTTGTGATGTGACCTTGGCTTTGGTCATGTTTTAGTGTCCATGAATCTATTCAACCTACTCAATGTATTAGGATCAGTCCTGGTCGCTGCGTTGCAAGGACAGGACAACTACTGGTTACACTAGCATCTACAGAACCAACCACATATCAATTATAAAACTGTTCTAAAAATTTCATGCATTTTTTCAACAACTCAGGAAGATAAAACAGTACTGATAACAAGTAGGCTGGGATGTGATGATGAGGGAAGGAAAAAGCAAGAAGGAAAGGAAGAAAGTGCAAAAAGAAGGAAAGAAGATAAAAGACAACAGAAAATGAAAGAAAGAAAAGAGCACTTCGCTGACTTTTTTATATCTGGAATTGAGGGAGGGGGAAGATGGGGTTTGACAAGTTATTTGTGGGGAGAGAAGTATAACTGGAGACTGAGGGAAGCTGTAGAAGACCAGAACCAATTAATATGCTAATAAGAAGCTTCTGTTTGACTCTTCCATATACAATTTTTGGTGAGGGTTAACCTGACATGACCATGAAAGATACTATATAAACTAATGCAATAATTAGTTATTTTCCATTTCACATATATAAATATCTCAAATATATATACTGAGAAGCCTTTCTTTGCCCAAGTCTTTCAAATATCAATGTCAGATGAAAGAAGAAAAGAAAAAATCAAAAAAAGTAGAGTCCTTTCAGTTCTATTTATACTGCAGTCAGAATTCAACTAGTGTGCTCTTCCTTAGTTCTCCTGGATGCCAGAAGGGCTTTCTAGATTTCTGTTCCTTTCCCTCTATGAAAATCCCTGCAGCTGCTAACTTTTGCTCCTTCTATGCCTCTCTGGGTAAGAGTATCATGCAAAACCTTCTAACCACAACACTCCTCTCAGGTCACCCAACTGCATCAAACCCTATGTCCACAACTCACAGAGTCCGTATTTGATCTGCAAATTTAGTAGCATTTGGGTTTGGAGGAAGAGGGCCCTTCAGCTTGGAATTCAGTAGTGTTTGGGGGATGATGGAGGGAAGCTCAAGCAGGTGCAGAGCTCAGCAGCTTCGGATGGGGCGATGAGAGGGATCATATGTGAGCACAGAGCTCAGTGGTGTTTAGGGGAGACAGTGGGAGAATGCCTACTCTGGCACTGCTCCAGTGTGTTCTCCAGCCCTGGATTACTTTGGTCACAGCTGTTGTACACTCCTGTGACTCACTGTCTCACAGATCCCTCAATGCCTGGTTCTGAGTCCCCAACCAGGACCATATCCTTGTTCCTAACTCAGTCAATGCCCTCTGAGTTATTCTCTGATGTGTGCTTTCCTTAGTGCCTTGATCTGAAGAGGGCCATTCTTGCAAATATCTTGCTCACTGGCTCCATCTCCCAGTGGGAAGAGGACAGATGGGCAGTGGGAAGTGGCTGCTAGGCAGGGTCCTGACTGCAGCAGCCTGGAAACTGCTACTGCACTGGTTTACTCCCTCTGGGCATTAGATCTTTTCCCAAGGTGTCCTGTTTGTCAGGCTGGGCTCTAAGCTGTGAGGGGCTTAGAGGATCCTGGGCTCAGGATCCTGAGGCAGCCCTGATTGTTTTTCTAAATCCTCCTGATATTAGGATTCATCTGATAGGCTTCTCCTTCAAGTTGCCTTCCCATATTTGGGTTTCTGTTCATCCTCCATTTCCAGGTACCTGTGGATCTTGGTGTCTCTGGAGTGCATCGTGAGTGCTGCTTCCCCAAGCCTGTCATGATGTCTTTTTTTTTTTTTTAGAGACAGGGTCTTGCTGTGATGCTAAGTTGACCAAGTGTGATCTGCCTGCTTCAATAAGTGCTGGGAGTACAGGCATGCACCACTATACCCAGCCTCTAATTTGCTTTAATGTGTATTTTCACACAATGCTAATAGGAACTAAATTTCTTAAATAAATTGTAACAATATCACAGAAGACTTTTTCCTACTTAGCTATGTCTTAATGACTTTAAAATCTAGATATAAAATTGTGGCAATCTCTTTCTAACAATAGTAAACAAAATTTTTTTGTGGTGCAGGAGAGTATTTCTTAATAGTCAAACAGTATTATCCATTTAAAAATAAAGAAATAGATTTGACTACATAGGAATTAAGAAGTACTCAACAAAAAACCTCACTAAGAAAACAAAAGAAGCTACAAACTGGGTAAAGACAGTTGCAATCCACAAAGATTTCAATGCACTTGAATCTATTGGAGTATATAAAATAACTTCTACAAATCAATAATAGAAATAGAAACAAATGGAAAAGAGACCTGTGTTTGACAGAGAAGGAAATTAAGACCAAAAAAAAGTAAAAAAATGTTCAATGTCAATAGTAGTCAGACAAAAATAAATTATGACCAAACTGTAACCATTTATACTAGATGTGCAAAATTTTAGTGTGTGTGGCAATGTCAAGTGCTGAAGAAGATGTGAAGCAAAAGGGTTTGTAAAATGGTATAACTACTTTGAAAAATGATTAGGCACTTTCTTATTAAGTTAAACATTCTCATGCTCTATTACTCAGCAACTTCACTCTTAGGTATTCATCTTTAAGAAACTTTCACATAATAAAGACTGGAAATTACTTGATGGCCACTGACAGAAGGATAAATGCATATGCTATGACATTATCTTCACAACAGTATTTCACAGCAGCGAAAAGCACTAAAGCTACATGCAACGATATAGTTGAATCAGGAAAAATTCACTGAGTAAATCTTTGATGTGAATCTGTTTTCTTCAAATTGTTTGATATTTTTCTTTTGTTTTCCCAATGTACTTTCTTCTGGAATCCAAAGAAATATTGTCCCCAAATATAAATTTTCATTTGTCAACAAGAAGTACAGAGATGACTCTCACCATCATTAGAGTGAGGGAGGTAGTGGATTAAGCAACCCTGCCCACACCTTTTCATTCTCCCCTACATCTACCTGCTCACTCTCCATCATAGTCCCTGTGCTGCTGCCTGAGAAGAGTCTGGATTATCTGAGAGATGACAGTCAAGAGCAAGGTAATCTAGAGAGAAAGAGGGTAATAAGGAAAAATAAGTGGAAGAAGATGGAATGCTTTGGGCTGGGACCAGTACAAAGTAAAAGTGGAGAACCATATGATCATTCTCTCAGACCTAACCCCATACGTTTTGTCTATTACAATGATTTAATAATGTAAACTACTTCTATTATTTAAGATGTTTCAATATTTTGTAAAAGCTGTATTATTTAAGGCCACCTAACAAATATTACATGAATTGATATCTAAATTATATTAATATACCAGATATAACTTTTTCCTAATTTTCAATGGAACAGTAAAAGTTAATCTGAAATGGAATTTTTTCTGAAAATAGCACTAACTATACAGTGTACAAGTATGTGAATTAAAAACTGAATCTTAAAATAATTCTAGCCCTTTAAATGTGCAATGTTATAGTCATAACCTATCTTTTTTTCACTTACCTAGTCATAGTTTCAGATTGACAAGTGCTTAGAAATAAAAGTCCTCTTTACCACAATATTACTAACCAAAATCTAACAAAAACAAAAGAACAACAATTTATACTCATGTTCTTGAAGCAATGACTGATCTCTTAGACAAAGCTATTTTCTTATACTTTGGTAAAATATTCACAGCAATTCAGAGGACTACTACACAATTTTTTATGCTATAAATGAAAAAAATTACTATGTGATAATAATACTGTCTTCTCTTTTACAAAAGGTCAATTATCCTTTCGGTTTTTTGTGTTTTTGTTTTTTGTTTTGGTACTGGGGATCGAACTTGGGTCCTTGAGCTTGCACAGCAGGTGGCGAAACCACTGAGCTAAATCCCCAGCCCAAAAGGTAAATTATCAATAAATTATTCAAATAACTAAAAAAACTCAGAAAGGTAAAATATTTTTGTTTTGCATACAGGTTAGCATGTGAAGCAATAAACAGGAGCAATATTTAAAGTTAGGATCAAAAAAAAATAAAGTTAAGATCATCATAATTCTTATCATGCCTGGTAATTCACATGTCCTGGCTATGCAAAAGGACTTAGAAACAGGGTACTTCAGTTGCCAGAGATTTAGCCAGCCTTTATTAACATACATAGCAACACTTACAGAAGCATTTTCACATGCACTTGGAAAACTGATATTCCACAGGCAGGAATCAGTAATGGGAAAACTGAAAGGATCCTGAACTCACCACCATAGAGGCACAATAGAAATACCAGCATGGAGCTTTGGGAAAAGTGAGCTTTTAAATTTGACAACAGTAGACTAGGTACTTGAATCAAACTACTTTATCTATTCCCATAATCACCTTTGCTAAGTTACATTTTAATATTTGCCTAACAGCTTTTATCAGCAACTAACTGAAAATCATAATTGTGCCTGCTACAAGTGTTGATATTCCAAACTGTGACCTGAGTCTGTACATTTGATTACTTCCTTAGGACAACTGAGAAAAAGTTGTAAGAAAAACTATCTCCCACAAATAAATGTTCAACAAGTTAAATGACTAAAGGTAGTAAGTCATTACTGCACAGTTTGACTATAGGAAGCAATGCAGGAAGTGGGGAGAAAAATGTTTTGTTGAAAACAAAAAAACAGAAAAAATGGTCTAATAGTCCATTCATTAAAAATATGAATTCAAAAATAGAAAAAAAATTTCATGACCAAAAATAAATGACATTTGACAATAATTTCTGAATTATCACAATAAATGCCTTTACCAGCTAGCACATGTTTAAAAATATGAAATCCTCTTATTTATCTAAAGATTTATTTTTCTGTAAGAACACTGAAGTGTTTTATAAGAGAGAAGTAACTTAAAATATTTTGAAAGAAAATATACCTTTTCTTAAACATGGATATCGGAATAATTTTATAATTCCATAGTCATCAGCTGTAACTAAAACTTGGCCAATATAATTTCCATCTACTGAATTTATATCATTGATATCTGAGTACTTGGGCCAAATTCCATTTACTTCAAGGCCTGAAACACATGTCCATGAAGCCCAATGAACAGTTTTTATTTCTTCTTTATTTGTCACTTCTTTTCCTCCTAAAAATAAATCAGTCTTAATTTAAGAAGTTATTTCATTTTTTACTCAAGCTTAAATTTTACTGAAAACATGATAATCACAAATTTTAAATATTTTCACCCAGTTGAGAATACATGAATAGATTAGTAAGCTTGTTAAGGAGAAAAAAAAATGCAAGAAACTTTTTTTAAAAAGCCATTAACAAAATTATACTGATTCAGAGACACACACAGATTTGAATACGACTATCAGCTTAGCAGGTTCACCCATGTGGAAAATAAAACTCAATCCTATTAAAATCATGTCACAGATTAGTCATAACAGGGTGAGTTAGAAGAAAAGGTTAAAAGCTATGACAAAGTGGCAAATCAGGTATTAAAAAAGAAACCTAAGACACGTAATTGAGAAAGAAGAGACTGAAAAAGACTGAAAAGGAAATATAGGTAGACAGTAATACATTAGGTAAGACAACTTTAGGACTCGGTCATTCTTCATTACATATAGATTATTAATAAAAGGCTTTGGGGGAGATGTATTAATTTCATTATATGGATAATCATTAAAAAGTTCTTGGAAGTGACTAATTCAGTAAGTTTCATATTAAAGTACTAAATAGTAATATTCTGATTATCTTTATTCTCTTTTAAAATCTTTGATAAAAATCTTTTAAGTTCAGTTTGTTAGCTATAATGTTAATATTATAAAGTTTGAGGTAACTAAAAAAATAAATAATTTATGGTTATACATTTGCAGCAATTATATTTAGTTAGTTCTACCCACAGAAGTTACATTTTGACTGTAACACAGAGTGTGACTTTACCATGTACGATTCACATGGTATAGAAATTAATATAATATAAATTGGTCTTAGATCTTCCAAGCAAAGGAGTTTCAGAAACATAAGGACTTAGGATGGTGGTTTCCATGGAATGCAAGAGGTGGTGGGGATGGGGAAATGCTGATCACAGGGTACAAAGTTTCAGGTATGCAGGATGCTAAGTTCTGAATCTCTAATGTGTAGCATGCTGGCTATAGTTCATACTGCATTTCTGTATGGTATAGCTGAAATCTGTTAACAGATTAAGATCTTAAATGTTCTCACCATACCAAAAAATATGTGAGCTGATAGATGTTAGTTGGCTTGATTATGGAAGTCACTGCACAATGTACAGTCCATGTACATAAAAATCACACTGTAAATATAGACAATTTTTATATGTCAACTGTACCTCAATAATTGTGGGGAAAGGAAAAATTTCAGGAGGGGTTTCAATGTAATAGGGCAGCCTTATAGAAAAAATCACAATGCTTGAAATACTACCTCCTTTGATTTCCTATAATCAAATGTAACTTATATTCTGCTTCTAGAGAAATTCTAAAATATCAAATAGACACTAAAATCTATGAACTATACACAGTTTACTAAAAAATTTTACCTGGCATCCTATAAAAAAGTCTTTTCCCATTTCCGTCATTTGTCTGTAAGTATCTACTATCTGAGGACCAGTCCAGATGAGTGATGAAACTAAGTGACCCAACACATTCACCAACTTTTTTATAACGCTGAGCAACTCCATAGATATCAACTGAACTGTCATTGCAACCAACAGCAAGGTAAGTTCCATCTGGTGAATATTTTAATTCATGAATTGCTTCTTTCCTATCTTTAATATGTACAACTTCTGTCATATCTCTGTTAAAAAGAAAAAAATGAGACCATATAAGCAAACATCACAAGAGAATTCTGTTTTCAAATGTGTCTAAAATAACTGTGAAGCTGTATCAAGTGACATAAACTATAAAATAAATGTAAATACGTATTAGCTCAGCAGCAATTATTTTGCTGAATGGAAATATATGTGAACAATATACACATGTCAGAAGTAGAGAAAATGAGGTGGGGCTGGGAAGTGGCTCAGTGGTACAGCACTTGCCTAGCATGTGTGAGGCCTTGGGTTCTGTCTCCAGTATCACAAAAAAGAAGAAAAAACAAAAATATCACTTTATAACTAAATAAGCACTTTAGAGATTTGTACTAAATATCTGAGTCATACAATAAAAGAAACAAAGTCAGAGATTTTTATGATAAAAGTTCTTTGTAAATACATACTGAGTTTATAAAAATGCTTAATGATGAACACTATAATGTTCAAGCCAATTTTTATAAAGCCAAATGTATAAAATTACATTCAGAAAATAAACTGAAAAAGAACATATCATTTCAACAATATGTTTGAATATATATACCTTTATAGCTACCACTAGTTATTTTTATTTCCACCTCTTCAACTTTAAAACAGAAAAAAAAATATCCTCACTTAGGGATCATGTCAATCAGTGAAGTTAAACATTTTTTTCCAGTGATGCCTTATAAATGAGTTTCCAAAGTAACACAGGTACTGGTAACAGCCATAAAAATGGGTGAACACTTAGTTTAACACTACTGAGTTTCCAAGGTTGTAGAACTGGTGAGGAGGAGGGAATAGAGAAGAGTTAGGCAAGGACAGAGAAGAGGTAAGAGGAAGTGAGAATTCCTACTTTCAATTAGTCTCAGGGACTTTTTCTCTTACAAAATTTGCATCATGGTGATCCTCTTGCCTCAGCCTCCCAAGTGCTGGGATTACAGGCATGCGCCACCACGCCCCGCTACTACATAGTGAATTAAAGGCCAGCCCGAACTACATAATGAGACTCTATCTCAAAACAAACAAACAAATAAATAAAACAAAGTTTAAGAGTATACCACTAATTTTTGTCTTATCCTAATAATATCTCCCAGACATTAAATTACAGAATCTCTTTGATTAAGTTTTCTTTTTTGGGTACCGGGGATAGAACTTGGAAGATCCTATTGGACAACCAACCTAACTCCAAGTCATAACAGAAGGGCAAACAACTCCAAAGAGAAGTGCAATTTGTAATTATCACAGTGAACAATCTGGGACTCTGCCCACTCTTTTTTCTACTACAGTCCTATAAAAGCAATAAAAAATGTTGGGCCGGGGATTTAGTGCGGTGGTTTTGCTGCCTGCTGCACAAGCGTAAGGACCCGAGTTTGATCCCCGGTACCAAAAAAAAAAAAAAAAAAGTATAAAGCTAGAGATAATTAACACAAAGGCTGCAAAAGGATGAAAACTGTAAGTACGATTACACTGAAAGAATTTTTTTTTTTTTGTACTGGGGATTGAACTTGGGACCTTGAGCTTGAGAGGCAGGTCGCAGAACCACGGAGCTAAATCCCCAGCCCAAACTGAAAGAAATTTTTAAAAAATAAAATAAAATTTGTATCACTTCAGAAACTAAAGTATTTTTCTCAGTTTTTAAGGTCTCTAAATGGAGAATTCAGAGCCATTACACTCAACTTTCTCTCAATAACATTAAATATTTACTTTGGTTTAGCATTAAAAAATTTACACTCAAACTTACTTTTTGTGAGAGATAAATATAAAGTAATCATGATAAAATGTGAAAACTGCTCAACAGGAATGTGCAAAGCTCTAAAAGAAATACTAAAATAAGGGTTAAGATTAAAGGCAGGAAGGAGCCAGGGAAGGGTGAAATCTGACTTAAGCATAAAACCTGAGGTGTTGGCTAGGTCTAAATGAGGAGAGAGTATTTTAGAGGAGGAAGACATAGCATGAGCCAAAGCAAGGAAGTATCCAAATGCATGACACACTTGAACAATGGTGAATAATGTAATGTGACTACAAGAAGAGGTGGGCAAGGTAGAAAGTGATGGAGGTGAAGAGAAAAACTGAGGGTAATCTGTGATGAATCTGATGTGTTTCCAGAGTTTGGATTTTACTATCATATTACTCATACCAAGAAAAAGATGAAAACTAGCCCCATAACTCCAAAAGAGGACCAAAACAAAAGAAAACAGTATGTGTGACAGTATGCTAGCACTTCACCAAAAATTCATTTCTCCCTTTTCCTAGTTTAAATTGCCCAGTCTTCTTTGCAGTTAGTTTAGATGCCTAAGATCTCATCAAAGATACATGAGAAAAAATGATGTAAGCCATTTCCAAGCCATGCTTCTTTTAGGAAGCAGGCATATTCTTTTCAAATACTCTCACTCTTCGTGCTGGTTAGATGTTGTTATCTATAATAATAGGTCCCAGGGATTGATAAACTACAACAAAATGAAAGAGTCTAGGGCTTTGAGTCATCTGGGAAAGGAAAGTCATTCACTGATTTCAGGCTGCTACATGTGCAAGAATTAATAATCTTCAGTTGTGGGCCGGGGATTTAGTTTAGTGGTTCTGCTGCCTGCCTGGTAAGTGGAAGGTCCTGAGTTTGATCCCTGGTACAAAAAAAAAACAAAACACTTCAGTTGTATTTGAGCCACTATGCATCTAGAAACCTTTTAATTATCGTAGTTAACCATTACAACCAATATAATGTTAGAAATAGAACTAGAAAAATAATTCTGTGACAGATCTAAGACTGTAATATTTAAAGCTTTTGTACTTTTAAAAAAAGCTGTCTTGGTCAACGTCACTTTTGCGTTAGACCCTGTAACTTTCAAGGTCCTCTTCTTAACGACAGACTCATATACCTCTACCTTTCCCATTGATTTCTTCCTTTAAGTTCTAATTAAATCTATGCATCTTATTCCTCTTTGCCTCCATATCTACCTATTCATCTATTTATATCTATATGGAGCAAGATTTTTAAAAAATTAAGATACTGTTTGATAGCTTTTTATGTTTCCTTTATTAAATATATTATAATTTTTACAAATATAAAAATTCTTTTGGAAAAGTCTTCAGAATTATTTTGGAATTTTTAACAGTATTTTTGTTCTAAAGACTTAATTAAGTGGACCCAATTAAAGAGAGAATTAAGTATGGCATGAATCCTTGATTTTTCTGTCATGGTACCCCTTTTCCTCTGAATCACATACCGTAGAAAACAGTGATGGAGAGAGAGATTCTGGTTGACTGATTGGTTTTATAGTATATTATGCTTCTATGGCAACATTATGAATAATATGACTGCCCTCTCTCATAAGGAAATTTCTATGACAAATTTAAAGGAAATAAGAATATTAGATGAACACCCGTGAATTAAAAAAATTCTAGATGAAGACTTCTTGGAAACTAATATGTGGATGCTATGATTTCTTTAAAAAGCAGAGGGAGCTGAAAGTGTGGGAATATTCATATATTAACAATTGGTAACACATTGCAAAGTAAAGATACACAGCACTGATCAGAGAATATAAGGCATTTTGGGAAGACATTACCAAATGAAGTGGAATAGATATCCATGATATCTAAACTTTATTGTGAGGAACAAATGCTACCTGGGAAGTAAAGCATTCATGTTCCAGCAGAGAGAACAGTATGAAAGAACTACTGCAAAAGTATTCAAGTTCAGCTTAAGAAGGCCAGTGTAATTGTACTGATATAAAAAGGGGGCTATAGTGTGAGTTGAATCTGTTGAGGGAGGCTGAGGGAAAATTATAAAAGGCCTTTTAGGTCTTGTTAAGATAAGGGTCTACTTTGTGAGTTTAATCCAGGGTATAATCTTTAGAACGATATCCTGGCTTTGCCTTGGTATACCAGTTTACACCTTAATATAAGAATTAGTACGGAATGAGGTAGGGTTATAGCTCAGTAGAAGAGCTCTTGCCTAGCATGTATAAGGCCCTGGGTTCAACCAGAAAACAAAAGACTCAGTATGTTAGCTTCTAACCTACTATATGTTTCTCCAACCATAATACTGTATAACTAAGAGAAAGATCAAGTGGGTCTCCAGAAACTGGGTCAGAAAAGTGATACACACACACACACACACACACACACACACACACACACATGGATAAAAGTGACTTCATCCAATCCAGTGTGTACCTGGTTTATCTTAAGCTAGTATCAGTATCTGGCTGTGCAGGTGCCAAAGTCTGGTTGTAAAGCTACACACATTATAGGTCTGTGTTTTATAGTAAACTGGAAAAACTGACTGGAGTTACTACGGCTATCATGGTGGTCACAACTCAAGATGGCTACAGTCACACTAAGCTGAATCCATACAGAAAGGTGAAAAGGCCTAGAGATGGATGGTGGTGATAATGGCACAACAATGTGAGTGTACTAAATGCTACTGGATAACACATTTATAAACAGTTGAAAGGTAAATTTTATATATGTATATTTTACTACAATTTAAAAAATCAGTTTAACAGAAAAGCCATAAAATATCTCATCATAAAAGCCTATTTCTGAAAGAGGAGTTAGCATATACAGAAGCTCAAAAGTATCAGAGAATATGACGTATCTGAAGAAGTGAAACAAGTTTTGTATAGATAAGACGGAGGTACAAAGAAACTGGTGGGAGAGAGAGACATGGCCAACCATGTAAAGGATTATGAATCTCATCTCAAAGAGAATACAAACCCCTTCTCATACTTTGTAAAGGAGATACAAATAAATGTGTTTTAAAAGGAATCACTATCAGTGAAGAGTGAAAGAAGGTCTTGAGAGAAGACAACCAAGAGAAAAGGAGACCGGTTATTCCCGACAAAAGGCTACACAAGAGAACACTGACGAATATGGAAGGATATTAATTACAGAGCTATTGAGAAAACAGACTTTCTAGAACAAGAAACGCAGAGAGAAATGAATTGATGGTTTCTGAATTAAGCTACTGAATGGAGAACCACTGAGCTCGAGAAGCCAGGTTTCATTAATGCTTCTCCTTGTGACCATCTCTGGATCTGCAGCAAAATGTTTAAATGGCTACCCAGGATTCAAATCGAATGATTCCACCTATAATTCAATACAAGATGTTAATTTCTTTAACAAATTCATTAAATTAAATTACTTTTGAGTAATTTCCTTTGGGAAGAGTTGCAGGTATTGTTTCTCAAAGCATAAAGACGAAAAGAATAACAACAAAAACATCTACCCATTTTTCACACCTCTGAGGTTGTTTAATGCAGGGGATCATTACTAAAAATCAATACCACCAAGGAAAGTCAGGACCCAAATTTATAGCTCAAAAATTTAGTAAGCTGTCTACTAAACTTTATTATTTTTTCCTGGTACTGGGGATCTGGGGATTGAACCCAAGGCCTTTACACTGACTTACATCCATAGTTCTTTCTCTATTTTTGAGACAAAGACTTGCTAAATTACTCAGGACTCACTTAATTACTCAGGCTAAGTTACAATATTGTAACTTCTAGAAAGGCAATGGTCAAAATCCTCCTGCCTTCCTTGGCCTTCCAGAGTACTGGGATTACAAGCATGTGTCACTATGCCTAGCTCTACTAAGCATTCTTAATCCTTCAAAACAAGGTTTTTGAGCATATTTTTTTTCTGACAAAGCTATTCTTTTATAAATCTATTTTATAATTTAAGGAAACAATATCTGACACATATTTTAAGACTAGGAAGAGAAAATAAATGGGTGAAAATGAGTATTACGTATTGTACCTCACTGAACAGAAAACTATTTCTACTTCTACCCTAATACCATACCTTACTCTAAGTACAGTGAATGAGCCGTCCTTCATTCCAAGTGCAAGATGGATCCCATCCACATTCACAGCTGCACAACGAATTGGTTCTTCCATATTACACCTTGCTATTAATGCATGATCTACTAGGCTCCAAATTCTGTAAAATTTAATTTAAAAAATAAAAAATCAACTAGCGTATACTTTCAAAATAATGACTATGAAATGCTTTTAGTTCAAATAATAATCACATTTCAAGTAAAATAAATTGAGATATTTTAATTTTTTCTGGCAAGGAATTACCACCTATGAAAATAGAAATATTGTTCATGCTTATATTGACAAAGGTATTTTTTAAAACAATACAATGGCATTAATTTGTTCCAATTATTCATTTTGATTAGATGATCTCTACCCTGACCAAAGGATGGGTGGATAGATGGATATATACATGTATATATATAAAAATTACTGTATAGATGGTCTTTTAAATTTAAAAGTATTCAAACTCAGAATCTGTTCCACCCTACAGGGCTAGAAATCAGCAGTGAAAAGGATCGGAAAAGATGTACTGTTTGAAAAATTAGGCTTATACTTTCAAATAACACAGAAAAAAAAAGACAAAATACTAATGAAAATAAGTTAATATTTTTAAATAAGTTAACAAAACTTCACATTAAAACTTTTGGAATATAGCTGAAACAGAACTTGAGGTGACGATTTAGGAATATGAATATACAAAAAAAAATTAGGTAATAAATGTCTGGGCCGGGATTTAGCTCAGTGGTTCTGCAGCCTGCCTCACAAGTGCAAGGTCCTGAGTTCGATCTCTGGTACCAAAAAAAAATTAGGTGAATATAAATATTACATTGGAGGGTCTTTACATTTAATTCCATCAATAGTGGCAAAAATTTATTATTTTTATTATCAGTACATATCCATCATGTTGAAAAAGGTGGAAAAAGAGAAAAGTGAACTTTAAGGGCCGGCAATTTAGCTCAGTGGTTCTGGCTCCTGCTGTGCAGGCACAAGGTCCCAAGTTCAATTCCCGGTACCAAAAAAAAAAAAAGTGAACTTTAAATATTGCATTTTAAAAGCACCAGTGGAATGTAGATCATACTGTTAGAAGGCCAAGTGTTATTTATTAAGTTTCAGAATGGTTCATATATTAGCCAAGCAAGGAAAGCTGTTCATTAGTGATGAGTTAAGTAGGTTACTAATTCCTCTCCCTCTTGGGATACAGCAGCTGAAGAGATGTGTCCAAAGAAAGCAGACTTGGCCTTTTAGTAAGAACAGTTGCTCAGAGATTTAAGAATACTGGGAGCAAGATCAATAATTAACTTAAAACAAGGCAAATAATTCTGAGTGGTTTTCCTTGAAATTGGGAGAGTTAACAGATATTGAAATAGTACTAAGTTATTTAATTGAGGAGTCTAGGTCAAGTTTGACATGACTAAAGTATTAGCATCTGGGCTGGAGATTTAGCTCAGTGGTGCTGTGCCTGCCTCGCAAGCACAAGGCCCTGAGTTCGATCCCTGGTATGGGGTGGGGGTAGGGGGAGATTAGCATCTATGAATAGTCTGCATAAACACCACAGGCAAGATTATTTTCGAAAACACTAACTGAATACAACCTAAACTGGAATTTGCTAAAGTACATTACAATTGATGGCAGGAAAAATACATGTATCGAAACAGGGCTTAAATTTATGAAAAATTTAAAAATGTAAGGTGTTTAAAGTTTAAGGCTATTCATTGTATTATTCTTTACTTAAAAATGACTTTCATGTGTAAAAGATAACTTCATTTACACTTATGGGTTTTACTATTTGTGAATTTTTCTCAGAAACAGAACTGAAAATCCTCTATTACCCTAACACACAGCAGTTTAATGGCTCAGAGTGGTAATGTAACAGGGGCACCTTTAAAACTGGTAATTTATAGAAGCACCCATTGTCTTGGCTTTCCTTGCTTACCATGGTCTCTCTTTGTTTATTGATCTTTGTTAATTTGAACAACTGAATCTGGTCTTATGGGATCCTAGAATTAAGCCAATAGCCAGAGTTCCTAGTAACAGTAAATTTTTGTTTTGTTTTTTTTTAAATCTCATAGCCAAAACTGAAATTTTTCTGAACTAGAAGAACTGCTCTCAAGCATTATTATTAAGCACTGAGCAGGTTTAGAAATTAGATTTGATGTATACTTAATAAATTCAATAAAAATTATAAGGCAAAAGCAGCATTTGAAATGTGAAATTTACACTGTGCTAAAGCCATCTGGACAATAATGCTATGAAACTAATAATATCAAATTTAAAATACGAAATGAGATTCCATGTTTGCACAAATCTTTTGCAAATGATTTTTGGAGCTTAATCTTTAATTCTGGCAATATATGTGGGACTACCTTCCTTTGGTAGGCCCTGGTTCTTGTTTTTCTGTTCTTTGTGCCTCAAGAGGAAACATAAACAAAGCTCAAGTTAACCTACGAGAAAAGTGGTTTTGGTCCACTGATGCTTCAAAATTTCCATTTTATTTTATAAATTGGCTGGACAGTTCCTTACTATCTTGGCAGTTCTGTAAGGCTTTCAAGGTGATTTACATTTTCACCAGCATCTTCAGTTGTTCTCATTGGAAGAGTTCTTTTTTTTCTGCTTAAATTCTTTTATTGGTACATTTTAGGTATAAAATACATTTACATTTATCATTGAGTGCTTGTACCTGTACATGATGTATCTTGGATCTTATTTTTTCCCCATTCCCTGTGCTCCCTTCCCTATTTACAAAGACTTTGTTTCCATTTTTTCCTTTTCTCATAATTTTTCCTTTCCCTTCTTTCCTTTCCCCTACCCCTTTGGACCTTTTCTTCCTATTTCAAATTATCAATTATTCATTTTAATCATTTTAATCCTTATTTACACTTTCAGTTTCTCACACTAGAGAAACTATTCGGTATTTACACGTGTGTCCTATGTTCTTTTTAAAGAAATTACCACCAATAAGAGAAACAGAAGTCTGAACAATTATTTTTTTTAAAGGATCAATTGCCCTTTTCAGCAGCTATGCAACAGCCTGTACCAGTAGTTGTACAATTAAAGCAACTGTAAAAGTTTCTAGCAAAGCACATGGATAGCAGCCCCTACAGTAAGTTTCCATATAGACAAAGAGCTATGACATCTTCCATTCCTATAAAACAGAACTGGCATAATGGCATAAAGGGGATGACTGATTAGCATACTATAAAAACACATTAGTGATTATCTAGAAATATTTAGGCTAGACCTCCTCTTCACTTCTTATATTGAATAAAGGAAACTTCATAGAGTTAAACAAAAAATAAAACCACTAATATACTGGAAGAGTATACAGGTTGAGCATCTCTAATCCAAAAACCTGAAATCTGAAATGCTCCAAAATCTTAAATTTTTGAGCACCTACATGATACAAATGGAAAACTCCACACCTGATCTCAAGTGATGAATTACAGTCAAAATGCACGTGCAGTAAAAATACTGTATATAATTACCTTCAGAATATGTGTATAAGGTATATATAAAACATGAATGAATTTTGTTTTTAGATATTCCCCAAATATTTCACTGTACACATGCAAATATTCCAATATTCTCAACAGGAGCAATAGTGCCCTCAGAAAGTACAAATGAATTCTTAGGATTAAAAAAATCTTAAATATTACAATGTGTTCCTCTAAAGGGCCACAATATAAAAACAGACAACCAGTTGTCTGCAGTATTAAAAAGTTCATAAAGAAAGGGCGAGATTATGCAAAAAAAGGTCTAAAGTCTCACTGGGATCAATGAAAGCAAGGTTGAGAAACACTGGTCTAGACAATAACCTTCAATGATTGCTAATTAAAAAAAACAAGAAGACTATGCATTACATACCATCAAACAGGGAGACCATGTATTATATACCATTATTAAAGGCAGCTAAATTACATGGAAATAAATACACAGTCATGATTTCAAATATACAATACAGGTTCCAAAAGTAACCCTGAAGAGCCTTAACGGACCTTGATAGATAACAAGATGTTAATTTTTATTAACACAGGTCTTACTTTAACTTGGTCTTAAACACCCAGCAGAAAAGTATAACCAAAAGATATATTAAAAAAATACTGTAATAATAAAGGCTAGCTATAGAAAGGGGGCTCTAATCTCTGAGCCCTGCTGGCAGTTTCCAGCTATACTTGTACTGATCTCTGTTATGGTTTAATGAGGCTAGAAAGCTACAGTGGAAGTTATAAAAGCTCAGTGAAAGTCTTTAAATTCCTTAGCTAAAATTCTCCTTCAAAACTACCCAACTCTCTATCTTTTTTTTTTTCTTTGGTACCGGGGATCAAACTTGTGCTTGTGCAGCAGGCGGCGAAACCACTGAGCTAAATCCCTGGCCCTCTCCATCTTCTTATAGCTAAAACTGGAGGGACTTGTGTACTGATAAATGAAATTCATTGTCTTTAGATAAATAATTCAAGTGAAAAAATCTTTTTAAAAATTAGATTTATATAAAACCCACATCAGTAGAAAGGTCTAGGAACCAGTTGGATATAATCGCTACTCCAGTCCCTAAAGATCAGATATGGCTCTTTTCCCAATCTGTCTTTCCATTCTAGTGCTCATGCTTTAATCTCTTCATAAAGTTTATTTACTCTCACCTAGAGGCTGCCAAACTCCATGTGATCATGCAGATGGAACCAACAATAAGTGTGTCACACTCCTTTCATCTGCATCCATGAGACAAATTTCCTGAAGGGAGTTCATAACCGCTAAACACCAAAATGACTTCTTTCCAAGGCCCCTTAGATTAGCTCTCTGGAGAAGGCATCTGACCGTGGTTTCCCCTGCACTTCTCAGCTCGAAACAGTTAGATTGAAACTGTGCCCATTCTTTCTAATTGCAGTTAGGGATAGCTCTTCAGAGGGGGAAATATTATAGGCTACTAAGCTAGATAGGAATTAAAATATAGTCAGAGAGGGATTGGGCTCTCAAGGAAGTGCATAGAAAAAATAATAAAGACATCATAATTGTGGCTGGAGGTATATCTGAAGAAGGCCAGGCCTGAAATAAAGATGCAATGGCCAGGCCCACATGCCCCCCCTAAGGGATGAACAGAAACTTGAGATTGTACCTTAATTAGTACCTTCCAGTCCATTAAACCCAGATATGCACCAGATATTAGGATGGGTGAACAGAACATATGGACCCATTGCTTTCCAAAAATGTTCCTGTTTTAGAAGTCATAGATAAGCGAAGATTAATGATGCCAGACACATGCCCTTGCTAGGTGCTTGGCTTCCTTATTGGATCAATATTAGCTAAGTGGCTATAGGGTACTTGTAATCTTATTGGTTGATTATACTTAGATCCACGTTGTACTCACCTCATGATTTTGCTCTATAAAACATTCTTGGAGAAATAACCTCCATGGGAACTCACTTTCAGACCCCTTCTGTCTCTTAGAAACTATCTCTCAATCAACCTTTCTTGCTCTTTTTTTTTTTTTTGGTACCGGGGATCAAACTCGGGACCTTGAGCTTGCGAGGCAGGCAGTCGAACCACTGAGCTAAACCCCCAGCCCTATCTTTGTTACTTTTAACATCTGTTGTTCCTTAGAATTAATTCTTCAACTGCAGGGGACACAAACTCAGCACATCTGACATCTAACAGGTTGTGAGTTATATCTCTCCTATATCACCATTACTACCTAGAAAATATCTTTAATAAAAGTTTATAACTATATCTCACCAAACCTCTAGATTTAACTATCAGTTTAAAGGATACAAGGAATACAGATACGTGTTAAAATACATACTGAGTATGTCATTAGCCAAATCTTGAATGTGGAGAACTATACAATGTGAAAAGTTTCCTTAACAAATAAACTCTAAGATGGAAAAAAAGGGAATGAAAGAATCTATAGAATAAAACGATTTAAAAGACATAACAATAATTGCAACATATGGACCTTATTTGGATCATAATTCTAAGAAAAATAAAAATGGCTTATAAACAGGAAAATTCTTACTACTTTATCAAAGGAATGATGTGTGATATTATTTTAGTGACATTTAGGGTTATCTTTTAAAGATACAAAATTTTCCAGATGAAATGTGAAAAAAAGATAAATCACAAACTAGAAAAAATATCCCCAAACCAAAGAACAATTCTCAAAACTTTACTGTACACTGTAGTCATCTGGAAGGATTGTTAAATTGCTGAATTTCTTTTCTTTTTTTTTTTTTTTTTGGTACCGGGGATCAAACTCGGGACCTTGCACTTGCAAGGCCGGCGCTGGAACCACTGAGCTAAATCCCCGGCCCTGAATTTCTTGTATTAGGTCCTAGGAAAGGCCTGAGAATTTGTACTTCTTATAAATTCCTTTGTAATGCTGATGCAGATCCAGGAACCACTCTTTGAGAACTATTATACACAAAGGGCTATTTCTTTTTTTCTTTCTTTCTTTATTTTTATTTATTTTTTTGGTACTGGGGATCGAACTCAGGTCCTTGCGCTTACACAGCAGGCGGTGAAACCACTGAGCTAAATCCCCAGCCCTAAAGGGCTATTTCTTTAATATATAGACAGATATTATTAGATCTCATTTTAAGTCAATCAGAGAAAAGACCAATGAACTAATAAAAAGTAGTCAAAGAACTTTCTAGTTACATAAAAGGGAATACAAATGGCCTCTAAACATATGAAAACATACTCAATAGCCTTCAATAGGTGAGAAATACATAGCTTCAAAACATAAGAAAATATCATTTTTTACTTTTTGGGGGAATAATTAGGGTTGGCAAGGGTTTTGGAAAACAGACACTGTCATATATTGATAGGTCTGTAAATTTTTGCTGTTCTATGTAAGGTATTTACGTACCAACTTAAAAATGCATATATCCTCTAAATACTACTAAGAATTTATCATAGAGATATTCATATTTACACATGTACAAAATGATATAAGTACAATGATATTAATTTCAAACACTGTATTTATTAAGTACACAAAATGGAAGAAACTAAACTTCTATAAGAAATGTCTATTTGAATAAACTGCAATATAACTACACAGGTGATAAAAAGATAAAGGTAAGGCCGGCGATTTAGCTCAGTGGTTCCGCCATTTGCCTCACAAGCACAAGGTCCCGAGTTCAAAAGGGTAAAGGTAGCTTTGTACATTCCAATATGGAACAAACTATATTTTTCAGAGAAAAAGAACTTTTGTTATTGATTCTAGTAATTGTAAGTGCCTATTATGTTCATTCGATATACTATAAGCTATAAAATTTAAATCTAAGTTATTTTTTCAGCTTTTTTATCTAAGGACAAATTCCAATGTTTGTAATTTGCTTACCTGACTGATCGATCATCACTTCCTGTCACAGCCAAAGGTTTATTAGGATGGGCAGCAAGTGCCCAAAGTTCACCTTCACAATGTCCTTGCATAATTAGGAAAGGTTTATTTCTTTCATGTACCACAATTTCAAAAATTTCACTGTCCTGCGTTCCAACTAAAATGTGGTCACCTCGCCAACAAACACTTCTCACAGACAAACCTAGTAAAAAATGTACTTAATGTCAATAATTATATTAAAAATCAATGCTGTAATAATATAATGCAGTCTTCCTAATTGAAAATTAATTCTTATACCTTTAATACCTTGGATGTAAGACAGAAGAAATATGCAAGTCCTTATTCCACAGTCTCACTTTCTTCAATTTTCCTTGTTGTTTTCTACATAGAATGATATTTCTTTTTATATACTTAATTTCTACCCATCCTTCAAGATATGCACCCTCTTCTTTCCTGTCAGACAACTCCAGATAGTCCATGTTTGACAGTATTTACAGACTGTGCCATTCAATAAATACTCAGGAACTACCTTTATAGAACTGTATTTTTCTTTAATACTTTGACTTTTCACTTGTCCATATTTCCTCAGTCTTCTCATAAACAGATTCAGAAGAGATTATTTTACTTTTTCTGCATACTTGTAGCCTTAGGAAAGCTGCTTTTCTCAGTTTTCTCTTTTGTAGAATGTGGCCTATATAAAAGTTACTATATACTGCACAGTATTTTTGTGGGAATCAAATTTTTAAAAGCATTAAGTAAAGAGCAAAATAGAAAAGAGAGAAATAGGAAGTAGAGAGATGTTCAAATATTTCCCCAAAACACAAATTTTTATTTTAAAAATATTTCAATATATGCTAATTGGTTTCCTTCATACTACTAGTTTATCTTAGTTCGTTGAAAAGAAAGTTTTGTGTTATTACCTGTTTGTTTCTTATAAAAATCTTTTTGGTTTATGCCTTGTAGTTTGAAGATAACAACATACAATGTAATAACTGTTGTTATTCTCTTATTATGATTATGAAATTTTGTCTTATTTTTTATAAAATAAAATTATTTTGTAAGCTTTAAAATATAATCTCGACAAAACTAATAGTTTATTAAATAATTATCCCAAGATTATACACCTACATATACCATTCTATACTAAAATACAATTTAAACAAAGACCTGTGAAACTTCCAATTTGAAGGTTACGACATTACTAGCTTAATTTGCAGCTTTACAATATTAGCAAATAATGTTAAATTTTATTATTAAAGATCCTGTTGTATTATGTCAGTATTTTAAAGTTCCCAAAAGAAATTCCCCAATTGCTTACAGATTTGGATGAAAGAAAACACATGTATACACATTTAAAGCATCCTTAACAAAAGTTCCCCAATATACTTTATTTCCAACAGTTTACTTGGTAAATAGTTATGTTTAGCATTCTAACCATGAATTGTTTTCAAAATCCAAGGTTACTAAAGTGCCTGTCACATCTCTCTAGTTCTCATTATAACAGGCATTAGACATATAAAAGAATCTTTGTCCTAACAGTGAACCCAAACTCTCTACAGCCACAAGTCCTCTTCAATAGCCTTCAAATAAATGTATACAACGTGAAGGGGTAATGAAAGTTTTATTTATATTTTTAAAACATACAGTTATGTTTACCAAAAGAGGGAAACAATCCTTGGTATGTTTAGAATTTGCCTGATAATGAGACATTTTATTATTACCTTTGTATCCCTGGTCTGTTTCCCTGAGATCAATCACAGTAATTGGTTTAAAAGTTAAATCCCAAAGACGAATACAGCCATCTCTGCCACCAGTAGCAAAACCTTCTTCACAAGCATTCATGCTAAAAATTCCTGCCTAGATGAGGAAATAAAAATAACAATATAAGCTTCTTAAAAACATCTACTATAGCTGGGGATTTAGCTCAGTGATTCCGCTGCCTGCCTCGCAAGCACAAGGACCAGAGTTTGAACCCCGGTACTAAAAACCAAACAAAACAAAGAAATAAGAAACAAAAACCAAAAACCAAACCAAAACAAAACAAAATCTACTATACGAAGCTAGAAACCCACTGAACAATATTTTGATTATGACATAGGAATAAACAAATTTACCAGAAAATCTATTTAATATATCCTTAGGAACTTTTTTCCCCCTTAGGAACTTAACGTATAATTAAGGCAATATTTGATGAGATGATAACTTTAAAATACTATACATAAAAATGAATTATAGAGGTAAGAGAAATAAGTTCTAAATATTAAAAATAAGTATGTTTCCATAAAGGAAAAGTTTTTTTATTTTTGCATATGAGAAAAGATATCACTAAGAAAGACAAACAAATTGGGAAATATTTGCAATGTGTTCAACTGAAAAGGGAACTATCAATAGTATACAAATGAATAAAGAAAATGAATTCAACAATATAACCAACCCAACAAGCAAAAAGAGCAAAAGATTAAAAACAACGGAAAAGTAAGTAAATATGTGAAATTTCACATATATACAGGAAACAAAATTCACATGAGAAGTTACCATTTTTCACCCAGAAGATATGCAAAACTGGTCACATTATGTGCTGATGAATATGAGGGAGAAACTAGAATTTTTATATGCTGATGGTGAAAATGTGAATTGCCACATCTTTTGTGGAAAATAATCTGGTATTTTTAGTCTTCAAGCATTTTGCTTAGAGCAAGTCTTTTATAAATGGTACTTTGATATACTCGAGACTTTTCTACTTAAAGATCCTACTGTTAACGCAGCAGCTTTGTGCTTTCTAGTTCCCTTCAGGGAACTTGCCTGCTAAAGAGCTCAAAAAATATTTGAAGGGTTAACAATAAATTATTCATATTTAGTAACTTATTTGTATGAAAATCTCATAAAGTACAAAAATCCCTTTGCCATGTAATGAATCAATGCTATTTTTTTCTAGACCTATAAATTGCTCACTGGTAAATTAGCCCTAAAAACATTAGCTTTATCTTACAGTAGTTAATCTAGAGTACTTTAAGGTTGATGTCAACATTTTCTGTAACACTACTCTGAGAAAGACACTGTTAAAGCAATGGTTTTAACAAGATACTAATTATAACTAATTTAACAAATATCTATGGGTGTAACTGCATAATTTTTCTAATTGAAATACTGAAAATAAATTAATTTGGTTAAATACCATTTTTCAAGAATTTGGACTGATTAGAAACAGTATACTATACTGTATTATGCAGTCTGTTGTTGTAAGACAAGAAGGTGTTATGGCTTATGTCTAGATGTCCCCTCAAAGCTTCATGCAGAAATATGTGGGACTTTTCAGAGGTGGCTGGATCTAGGGTGTGTGATGCTGGGATTAAGGGTGTGTGTTTACTAAATTAGTCTGCTGCTTGGTTTGGCATAATGGGAATAATGGGAAGGCCTACCCTGGAATATAAGGGACAAAAGAGGGCTGCTGCTGTTGCTTGCTACTTTACTACTTTGCTCCTTTGATGCCTTCTGCCAGCCATGAACTGTGACATCCCACTGTAATGCCACCCAGCCTTGAGGAAAGCTATGGACTGAAACCTGTACAAACTGTGAGCTACAATAAACCTTTTGTGGTGATTAGCTGATTAACTGTCAACTTGAGTAGGAGTACCAGGTGAATTGAGTCAGCATGCATCTGGGCATGGAAGACCCACTTTAGGAGGACTGTTGTTAGAACAATATAAAAAGAACGGGAGGGAAAGATTTCAGCTGATCTTCCTTGGAGGCGCTTCACCGAGACTGCTTTTCTTTGGAGGCGTTCCGGTGGTTTTTCTTTGAAGGAGCTGTGGCTGTTTTCTTTCTTCGGGGGAGCTTCAATCCTTGTCCTCATCTTGGATGTCGTTTCCTGGCTTCCACTGCAGGTCCCTCAGCCTTCTGGCACAGACACTTCCGTTTCTGGCACTGGCCCTTGGGGCTTTCCAGGGCAGATCCTTTGGTCTCCCGTCATGGATCCTTCGGCCTCCACAGGACACTGGCGTGGGCTCCAAGCCCTTGACTGGATCCTTTGGGTCTCTGACACACAGACAGACATTTTGCACTCTTCCACATCTGCCTCTAGTAAGCACTGAGTAATACACCTTTCCTCCTTTAACTTTGGGTGTTGGGTATTTTTGTTGTTGTTTTGTTTTGTTTGTTTCTTTTTTGAGACAGGATCTCACTATGTAGTTCAGGCCGATCTTGAACTCACTATGTAGCCCAGGCTGGCTTCGAGCTCACTGATTCTGCTGCCTCTGCCTCCTGAGTGCTGGGATTACAGGCATGCATCACCACGCCCGGCTGGGTGTCCAATATTTTGTCTCAGTAATGAGAAAAGTAACTAAGACAGAAGGTTAAGTAGTTAGCATCTAAAAGTGTTTAAATATACTTACAGTATGGGCTCCTTGAATTGTTCGTATAAGATTGATTCCCTTCCAGACATATATATCTCCATTGAGTGCACCAGAATATGTTAACTCATCTCGAGCGCAGGCTAGGCACAATATTGTCTGAAGGTCACCTGTTTTACCGAAGATACCTCGCTTTGGGGTCAGAGCATTTCCACATAAACTCCAGAACTAAAAAGCACATAGTATAATAATCAAATTACTAAGAATACTTATAAAATAAAATATTTCCAATACTGCAATGCTATATCAGAACAGCAGACTAGAAATTACCTAAGAAATTGCTTTACGATACAATAACATTCAATGTTCACATCCTCATTCTAAGGTTGTCAAAAGCTATGTAATTGCAGGTAAATCACTGGTTTCAATCTTTATCTGTAAGAATAAGGGGGTTGAACTAGATTATTTTTAAAATGTACTATGCTTTCTTTAGATTTCTGAAAAAAAATCTACTTGAAAGAGATAAAATGTCGTAAATGAGTTAGCAATGAAAATGAAGACAAGACACCATGTGCTAATAGGAAAAATTACCAATTTTAATGTTTAATCTCCAATGAAAACAGTAAAAATGGGGAGGGGAAGACTGTATGTTGCTCTTACTGGTATTTTCAAAGCTGAGAAATGTCTTTTCATAAATTTTAAAATCAATTTGGAGTGATTTGTTCACCAATGGGAGAAGAAGACAAGTCAAACATGAATCTCTGTGACAAGATTTTTTGCTCTATTATGTGGATTTCAGTAAATTTTTGTAATTTGCAGAGAGAAATTTGTTTAAATGAGACAGGGCAGGGACATATACATTAAATAGTTCTGTTTAAATTAATTAAGTTGAGAGAATAAATTTAACTTTTTTTGCAATACTGGAGATTGAACTCAGGACCTACACACTAAACTACATCCCTAGCCCTTTAAAAAAAATTCTGAGACAGCTGGACTCAAACTTACAGTCCTCCAGCCTCAGCTTCCCAGAGTACTGAGATAACAGGCATGCACCACCATGCCCAGTAAATTTAACTTTGTAGTAAGTAAATTAACATTTAAAATAATATAATTTTAATATTACACACACACACACATATATATATATTTTTTGGTACCGGGGATCGAACTCAGGTCCTTGCGCTTGTGAGGCAGGCGGCAGAACCACTGAGCTAAATCCCCAGCCCAACACACATATATTTTAAAACCCTAAGCCTCAAAGAACAGAAATTGCAATATTTATCCATCAAATAATTAGTGCATATTTTAATGAATTAAATTTTATTATTTTAAAATAATATATTTTGCAGGTTATTGCTATTTGAAATAACTGCAATTTTAATGAATTAAATTTTATTCATATTTCTATGCTTATGATTGATACATAAATGAAGGTAGTTTCATTGCCTCATAACTGGATTTCAAAAAAATCATAATTTTGAAATCTCTTTCATTCCTAAAATTTAACGATGAATTATATAGTACCATTATTGAATTTAAATATTTTCCAGTTTTATAATTCACTTGTTTTTGTTATTTAATTCACAAATTATTTACCCAGGTTTTTTCTTCATCTTTTCTATGTATATGAAGGCTTCTTCCTATAAATTT